AAAGTAGAATAGAAGTGGCACAACTGTGCAAGGCAAAATCTTACATAACACAATTGGTCCTTCGAGCCGGATAGTTAATTGCAGCGTCAAAAAACGTTATTCTAGAACAATCATAGGCTGTTGTGGGTGATAATCCAAATTAGTTATTCGAGAATAATCATAGACTGTCGTAGTGGGTGATAATTCAAGATTAGGGAAATTGTGCAACATTCGCCACAAGAACGAGTTCAACAAAATATCACCGCAGATATCGTCGCATCAGATTGGTTAGTCACTTGGATTTGGATTTTGAGCATATACAAAAATCAAGTAAGTGCGTTATCCCTTGTTTCCTTCCTCATTTATTTCCCTGGATATTCGATTACGTGTCAGTAATATGGAAACTTTAAAAGTTTTAACATCTCAAAGAGCTCAAATTAAGTCTCGCCTCACAAGATTTAAAAATAGTCTTGATAATTTAACAAACAAAGAAATAGCAACTGAAGATGAACAGGTAGAAATTCAAGACCGTCTTGCTGACATAACATTATCTTTAAAAGAATATGAACAAGTTCATTTCAAAATTGTTAGTATGTCGGACGATGTTGCACATGATCGCGATATGGAAAAATTTGAACGCACATTTTATGAAGTCACCGCGCGGGCAAAATGTCTCATATCAAAATTTAACACACCTTTAAAAAATAATGACAGTTTGTATGACGACTTTGGTGCAAATATGTTAAAATTACCAAGTATTAGCTTGCCAACATTCAGTGGTCGTTTTGAGAATTGGGTCGAATTTCACGACTCCTTTGACTCATTAATTAACAAAAATCCCAAGTTGTCGGATATCCATAAATTTTATTATTTGCTTTCTGCCGTGAAAGGTGATGCTGCGCAATCACTCAAAACTATAAAAATCTCCTCCGAAAATTACAATATTGCATGGGATTTGCTCAAGCGTCGATTTGAAAATAAAAAATTAATAGTACAAAACAGCATCAAAGCGTTATTTAATATAGAGTCTATGAAACGGGACACACATCAAGGCCTTCAAACAATGTTAGATGACATATTAAAACTAATGCAATGTCTTCAAAATTATAAGCAACCCACTTTAGATAGCTTGCTCATATATATTATTAGCGCGAAATTCAGTCTGACTACACGTCAAGAATGGGAAAATTTTAAACCAAAGGATGAATTTCCAACCTTCTCCGAGTTAATAGATTTTTTAGAAAAAAGGTGCAGTTTATTAGGATCATTAGAAGTAAACAAAAACAATCAGAGTCTATTTAATAGTAGTAACAAGGCTAATTATAATAATAGTAATTCAAAATCCTATGTAACTACATCAACAACATATTGTCATTTCTGTAAAAACTCCGATCATTCCATATATACATGCCAATCGTTTCTCAAATTAAGTATCAATGAGCGAATTTCAGAAATTAAACGTTTACGCCTATGTTTAAATTGTTTGAGAAAAAATCACTTTATTAAAGACTGTCTTTCGAAAAAATGTAAAAAGTGTAATAAAAAGCATAACACTATATTGCACTTAGAAGAAAACAATAGAAATAGCAATAATGTCGAGTCCAATCAATCTGCACACATAGAACAAGATAGTCTGCCAGGCCCGTCTCATGCGTCCAATCATTTATCATTCAAAACAACATTATCATTCTCTAACGGTGTCATTAGTGAACCACAAACAAATCAAACAATTTTGTCGACCGCATGTGTTAACGTAGAAGATAGTCACGGTAAGCTGCAAAAATGTAGAGTCCTGTTGGACGTAGGATCGCAATCAAATTTTATAACTAATTCAACATGTTTACGGTTAGGACTAAAGAGAACAAAATGTAGTTTAACAGTAGGTGGTATCGGGGAAACCACATCAAATATACAGCATAAGGTAAATCTCAAGTTTAGATCTTGTGTAGGCAATTATAGTTCTGAAATCACTTGTTTTGTATTAGATAACATTACGGATCAATTACCTCTTGCACCGTTCAACATAAAAGAGTTAAGAATACCAGAAAACATCAGATTAGCAGATAGCAAATGTAACGTCCCTAGCAAAATAGATATACTTATTGGCGCCGGTTTGTTTTGGAATCTTTTATGTGTAGGACAGTATAAATTAGGAGCGAATAAACCAACGTTGCAGAAAACCCAGTTAGGTTGGGTACTAGGGGGAGAAATAACACATATGAATATTCAAAATAATTCAAGATGCCATTTTTTAACACATTGCAGCACAGTAAATAGTAGTAATCAATTAGATAATCAGCTAACTCGATTCTGGGAATTAGATGAATTCAAGTGTAGGGCCAGTAATTATTCACCAGAAGAGCAACATTGCGAAGAACATTTTATAAATACGCATACACGTGATCGCGATGGAAGATTTGTAGTAAGCATACCGTATAAACGCGAACCAAATGAATTAGGCGAATCCAAAACATTAGCTTTAAAACGTTTTTATTCTATTGAGCGAAAATTAGAGAGAAATGATAGTCTTAAGAATGAGTATGTTAAGTTTATGGAGGAATATGAGTCCTTAGGTCATATGACGAAGGTTGCTGATTCTGAAGTTAATGGACCTACCTTTTATTTACCTCACCACGCTGTGATAAAACAATCAAGCATCACCACAAAGGTTCGTGTAGTTTTCGACGGGTCAGCGAAGTCGGATTCAGGTATATCATTAAACGATATTCAATGCACCGGTCCCACAATTCAGAACGATATCCACACAATATTATTACGTTTTCGCCAACATGCATTTGTAGTCACTGCGGACATAGCAAAAATGTACCGTCAAGTTTTAGTTAATCAATCACAGCGTAATTTACAGCTTATTCTATGGAGAAAAGACAAATATCAACCAGTCAATATCTACCGCTTGAACACAGTAACATACGGTACCGCGTGTGCATCGTTTCTTTCAACAAGATGTTTAAAACAATTAGCAATAGAAAATCGTGAAACATATAAGAACGCGTCTCAGGTCATTGAAAACGACTTCTATGTAGACGATTTACTGACCGGATGTGAATCAATAGAGCAAGCATCAGAATTAGTTCAGGACGTTTCAAAAATTTTATCAGCAGCAGGATTTGAATTGCGTCAGTGGAACTCAAATAGTAAACAAATTATTTCCAACATTAGCGTGAGCCGTGAACAATATATACAAAATACTATCAAACTAAAAGATCATAGCGAAAATAAAACACTAGGCATTCTTTGGAACCCAGAGCGCGATAGCTTTCAATATGACATAAACAATTACAATTTTAGCGATCAAGTAACGAAGAGATCTATTTTATCCGCGACAGCGCAAATTTTTGACCCGTTAGGACTTTTAGCACCCATCGTAATTATAGCTAAATTAATCATACAAGACCTTTGGCAATCTAAATTATCATGGGACGAGTCAATACCACTACATCTAAATACCAGGTGGCTAAGATTTAAGGATCAATTGCCCGATATTAGGGAGATTTCTATTCCTCGTTGGGTTACAGTAACAAACGCTAATTCAATCGAATTACACGGCTTTTCAGACGCGTCAGAGAAGGCCTATGGGGCCTGCATTTACGTTAGAAGCAAGGACTCTTTAGGAAACTACTCGGTATCATTACTATGTGCAAAATCCCGCGTCGCTCCACTAAAAAATATTTCGTTGCCGCGTCTCGAGTTATGCGGTGCTGTAGTACTTGCGCAATTAATGCAACGAGTGAAAGATTCGATTAATTTACATATAGACAAATGTATCTATTGGTGTGACTCAACGATCACATTATCTTGGTTATCAAAATCACCTTCCAACTGGAAAACTTTTGTCGCTAATAGGGTCGCTGAAATTCAAAGAATTTCAGATAAACAAAGCTGGTTCCACGTGGGATCAAAGGACAATCCCGCGGATCTAATATCGCGAGGTGTAGAACCAAAATTATTACAATCCCATAAATTATGGTGGAATGGTCCACGATGGCTTTCTTTAGGTAAAATACATTGGCCTTCCCCACAATACGAGGAAAGCAACGTACCTGATCAAAGGTTATTGACACACATTTCAGTAGAACAAAATAATATCGAACTGTTTTCAAAATTTTCAGAACTGAATAAATTAATGCGAGTAGTATCCTACTGTTTTAGATTTATATCAAATGTTAGCAAAAATAAACAAGATAGAATATTAGGTCAATTAACAAATAACGAATTGCAAGGCGCCCTTTTAACATTAATAAGACTTGCTCAACAAAAGATATATTTTAGAGAAATACATGCTCTGACAAATAATAGTAACATCGGTAACAAAAGCAATTTATTGTCGTTAAATCCCATTCTGGACAAAGACGGAATTCTCAGAGTTGGCGGTCGAATACAACACTCGAATTTTTCCTTCGATAAAAAACACCCCATTATTCTGCCCTCAAATCATAAATTAACAAATATGATTGTAAAAAATGAACATGTAAGATTATTGCATTGTGGAGTGAACCAATTATTAGCTTCACTACGTGATAAATACTGGCCTATTTCTGGAAAAAATGTTATTAAAAAGGTAATACGAAATTGCATTACTTGTTTTCGAGCAAATCCCAGGTCAATAACACCATTAATGGGTTCGCTACCTAGACCTCGTGTAATACCTTCCCCGCCATTTTCTAATTGCGGAGTAGATTATGCCGGGCCTGTTAATATTAAGGAGAAAAGGGGTCGTGGTTCAAAGACTTTCAAAGCATATATATGCATTTTTGTATGTTTTGCAACCAAGGGTATCCATCTCGAATTGGTCACCAGCCTCACCGCTGAAGCATGTATGGCTGCAATTCGCAGGTTTATTTCTCGTCGGGGGTTGCCCCAACATATATATTCTGATAATGGGACAAATTTTGTGGGTACAAAGTCCGATATACAGCAATTATATCAGTTAATTCGTAATCAGTCCGATATTTTGGTTAATACCTGTAGCAAACTAGGCATATCTTGGCATTTCATACCGCCTCGTTCACCGCATTTCGGGGGCCTCTGGGAGGCCGGAGTAAAAGCCGTAAAATATCATCTAAAAAGAGTCGCGGGAAATGCATTATTAACGTATGAGGAATATTACACATTACTGACGCAAATCGAAGCTGTTCTTAATTCACGCCCGTTATCCCCTATATCGAACGATCCTAACGACCTTAATCCTTTGACTCCTTCGCATTTTTTGATTGGTCGTAAGCTCAGCTCTATTCCGGAACCATCGCTATTAGAGACCAAGGAAAACCGACTAACTAAATATGAGCACATACAGAAGATACGACAACATTTCTGGAAAAGATGGAGCAAAGAGTACATCAGTGAACTTCAGGTTCGCACCAAATGGAAGAATGATAAGAAGATTCATCTGAATGTTGGTACAATGGTACTGTTAAAGGAAGAAAACGCGCCTCCTCTGAAATGGCAGTTAGGGAGAATTGTAGCAGTGCATCCCGGAACAGATGGAATTATCCGCGTAGTGTCCGTGAAAACTGGTAGTGGGACTATTGTGAAACGCGTTGTGTCAAAGGTGTGCGCGCTTCCGTTGGAGCTGTGAATTTCTGTGTTTTCTTTCAGTGCGACAAACATTTTTGCCTTCCTTTGTATGCAATGTTTCTTATTATGTATTTACCTTACTTATTACGTATTACAATTTAAATCTAGTTCACTTATTTTAAGTCAATTAAAATTAGTTATTAATCGTGTTTTATCTTTATCACAATCAAATTAGTTTTGAAAGTTTATTCAACTTTCAAGGGGGGCGGCTTGTTAAGAGTCTTTGTTATGAGTATTACTTTGAAATATTTTGGAAAGGAATTTGTTTCGGTTGTAAAATTTATTTATTTATTTGGGTACCTACAACATTTTGTAAACCATTGTTTGGTCACGTAGTTGTCCGACCAAGGGAAGTTGAACAACCCCAATTATGTTGTTACCCGCTGTTATGCCATCCGCACCCCTCCGGTGTCATTTAATTTTGTACCATAGCAGTAAGATAATTTTAAGTAATTTGTATCAGTCAGTCTTTAGTCGTCTTAGTTATCAGTTCTCGAATAATTAGAAATCATAGTTTAGGAATCATAGTCATCATCTTTGTAGTAACCATCATCAACATTTCGTCATTATCACCCTAATTCTAAGCTGTATATATATTTTATATTAAAATATTAATTTAAATTCTACGAAGTGTTTTTCTTACAAAAAAAACATCTCGAAAGTAGAATAGAAGTGGCACAACTGTGCAAGGCAAAATCTTACATAACAACAAGCTTTTTACAAGATAAACTCAAAATAGTTGTAGAACTTTTGAATCCAATGTCAAATTTTTTCATAAATATTTAGATAAAAAGAATCTTACAAGTCAAAATATTGAAAAATTGATTTTGCTCCATCAAACTGACCACAGACCTGATTCATTAGCGCTCCTTACACAGTTTTAGAGATATTATTTGATATATGCCAGAAGTCCGATTGCTCTTGTACACAAGATATCATGAAGGTAGCTGGTAAATAATATGAAATAGCTATTGGGGATGTTTTTCGTTGTTGTCAACTAATATTTACAGCGAGTAATTCGGTGGCTTTGAACGCAACAAAATTTAGTTTACTTAAAAATTCGGCCAGGTCCACCACGAAAAAGGAAACTTGATGCTGTATCAATAAAAATCGAAATAGACCTTTCCGATATCCTTGACCTAAACAATATAGTGAATTTAGGGACGAAATTTAAGTACGGGCGAATTCAAGTATCTAAGCTAATGATTCCTATTAACCTATTGGATTAGGTGCTTTTATTCTTTTAATTGTATATATATATTTTTGCACAATTACATCCCTGTAGAGATGAACGGTGTTATTTGTACGTGGGTGTAAAATTTTAGTTGGAAAATTAGAGTAACTACAAGTTACGCTCCCCTTCTCCTCTCCCCCTTAAGCACAAAACTTCGCTAGTGGCCTGAAATCTAAAAAATTCGATAGAAGCTAAGCTTGAAAAGAAATTGTTCTTTAAACTTTTCTAAAAGGTCTTTTATTTTTTGATCAAATTGAATTTTAAATTGAGATGTTACCGTAGATGATGACAATATTAAAAGAATGCATGCTACATATATACATATATCTACAAGGTGGGAAAATTTCGACGTTTATATAGGACAACTTGATAACTATAACAGATACAAATTTACGTTTTTTAGACACAGTGGTGTCGAAAAAATTAAAAAACAATCATCCCCTTTCGAGTTATGACATAAACTTGTATTTTCTTAAATAGGAACGATAGTTGGCTATACTTTAGTCAAAAAAATAATTTTCTTGTCTTTTGACGTGACAACGTCTTATAATTCGATGGAGCCGGCTGCACGCACGAAAAAACATGACTCATGCGGCGTTACCTCGCTCTGAGGCGTTCCATTTAAGGCTTGAAGTGCAAGCGAGAGCGCGGAACGAGCGACAAAGAGGCACAATCGGCNTGGTTATTTCTCATGATAAGTAGTGCTACATTACACTACATTGTCATCCAAGATATCATATACATCAAAGATATATATAACCATATAATATATAAAAAAAAAATTGATCAAGATCAGTCGCTTGTAATTAAAAACATTGTTACCACCATTACCTTTCCTCTGTCATAATACTCTCCCGATAAAGAAAAAATTGGTTGACATTGTATGTATGCCTTTATCTAAAAGCTATCGTAAACGATTTTTGTCTTATGGGCTTAAATTTAGAAAAAAAAATATTTTTACAGATTTAAAAAACAATTGTTAATAAATAAACTCGAAACTAAGTTTTATTTCGACAGTTCATCTTACCTTGTCATACTACCCCGATATAAAAAAGAAGAAGAAGCAGTGCCGAAATTTTGTGGCAACGAGTACTACTGGTGCAATAGCAACCCTCATCGTATCGTCGACGTTATAGATCTCAAGGAGGGTCTGATTTTAGTGTTTGGGGTTTACTGTAGTAGGCAATAGTGTTCTAACTTATCACCTATATCAAGAGCATTTAATGGCCAACGGTATTATAACTTTTTAAACGAAGCAAATAGCAAGTTCTTTCAGTAAGATGGTGCACATCCTCATAATATCAAAATCACTCAAAGCAATAACAATTTTGATGTGGTACCAGAGATAAATTTCAATAGTTATCCAGAAATAAAACCATCCTTGAGATCTAACGTCGACGATAAGATGAGGGCTGCTATCGTACCAGCAATGCTCTTTGTTGTCATAAAATTTTAACACTGCTAATTTAAGCTTCTTTTATGTCCGAATGACGAGTAGGGAAAAGTGAATTATTAAAATGATCAGGAGATCACTATCACATAGATAACAGATGAAACCAATATAAAAAATGCAAGGGGTAAACTACCAAAAGGTTATTTTCGTAATTAAATGCTCATTCATCGAATGTGACCCCACATATTACACATATTTGAAATGAGGAAAAAGTTATCTTTTTAACTATAGCATAGCAAACTATGGTCCCTATTTAAAAAAATACAAGTTTCTGCCATAACTCGAAAGGGAATGATCTTGTTTTTAATTTTTCCGACATGCAAAAAAGTATCTGAAGAAGGTAAAAATTGTTTTTTCTTTCCTAATATTACAAACATGGACATGCAGCCAAAACTCGAAATTTTCAACTTTTGTTTATAACTCGAAAACAAAAGACAATAGTCACTTTTTGAAAACACCAATAAATTTGCATCAAAAAAGAGATCGAGAAGCCGCCATTAATTTCTTTGTATCTGTTATTGTTACTGAGTTGTCCTATATAGTTGTCGATATTTTCCCACCCTGTACATATACATATGTACGTGTAGAAAAAGCTTAAATTTCAGCAAGTGCATACGTTTCGTGCTCTAAACTTTGGAGTCTTAATTAAACGACAACGTAGGTTTTCATTAGTTCGAGACTCTGGCCGTTCATTCGACTGATTAGAAGCAAATAGAAATGTGCTTGTCACAATGCAATACGTGCAGTCGTTAATTAAATTACCACGGGTTTGCGAATTTACGAGAGTGGTGAGTTTGTGACGTATTTTGTTTATGTCTTCTTTTTTTCAAACATGATCGATAAAAATACTACTGTAAAAAACCTATACCCTAGTAGCGAATTGAGGACCGAAAATAGATATTTGTATTCTATTACATTCAACTATCATCTTTTGATAAATACGACGTGATATAGGAAAATTCATACAAATACCTTCAGTCTGTTTTTCAGTAAACAGTATTCTTGCATATATAATGTCTAATGACTGCAATTTAAAGTATTTAAAAGGTGTTACAGAATTGGGTTAGTTAATAAAGTAGAAAATGGAAAAAACAGATTCCCAAACTTTGGCTGAATGGAGTTCATTCAAGGCTGGACCAAGTTCGGCATTAAATTGATTAACCAAGACTGGACAGTTTTTGCAGACTTTTAATTTATAAACGTTAGAGGTCCGTTCCAACAGTTTCAAGTCAATTTTATAAAGCATACAGCAGTTATGCCGCATAGGCACAGGAAACTTAGAACAATAAGTTCTTGGTAAAGACTCTGTCGAAAACGCTAGGAGTGAATTTCGATTTCGAGTTTGATTGTTCTGATCAGCACGTCATGGACAATTTCAACTAAATAGCGACGAAATCGAAACAGCTGGTAAAATTCCTAATTTTTTAATTTTGTCTGTAACAGGTTAGTCAATTTAATTTAAAATGTGAAGTACAATATTGTAAATTAATAAGAAACATTACATTGTTTTGATAAAGTTCAGTAAGTTCCGCATGTTATCTATGAAATTGCACTTTGTTATTCAATAACTATTACGTTCCAATTTATTTGACGTAACTGTATGTACATTGTACAACAAGTATTATTATATGCAGGTAAAGTAATTACGGTACGTATACCATCTGAATCATCAGTCTTACAATAGCGATACCTCTACGTGATCCTACATGCTAGCCTGAGTAAAAACGACTTCCAACACATTATCCTCCGCCATCCGGCCAGTCTGTTTCCGGTCTAGGTAGGTATAACGCCCCGTCGATATTCGAGCAAGTTCCGGTGGGTGAACAGCTTGGGATACGTTATGCATCGTGTACCTCACAAACATATTGTATATGTACATGTTATAATTTTCACTGTGCAGAAGCTAGTGAAGTGATAAGCACTAGGTCCAACTAATAAAAACAGTATTCTTGCATATATAAAAGTTTAATAAGTTTAACAAGAAGAACGTGGTTACAAAACTCAATGCAAAGGCGCCTTTCTTTCCAGACAAACTCAGCTTAATTTACTTATTATAAAATGCAATACTTTTAGCAATTTACTAGTAATTTAACTCTGAGACCTAGATAACGGTTTTTTTCTTTAAAGCTTATCTCACCGATTACAAGAAAGGTTAAGAGGTACTGTAGGTACTCAAACGCCCTCTGTCGCTTGTGCATAAATTTAAATTCAAATTCGAATCACTACATAGTATAAAACAAAGTCGCTTCCCGCTGTCTGTCCCTATGTATGCTTAGATCTTTAAAATTGCGCAACGGATTTTGATGCTGTTTTTTCTAATAGATAGAGTGATTCGTGAGGAAGGTTTATATGTATAATACATGCATAATATAGTAGAGAAACGCTGATAATTTTAGAGGTTTATAATGTGATGTCGTAAATAAAAACATTTTTTTGCGCTTACATTGGAAACGCTGGCTGAACCCTACGAGATAGATCAAAATAATGTACTACATATTGTAGATCTTAAAAAGGTCTACAAAAAAGTCTGAGATGGTATATGTCTATCTCTTTTAGGGATAAGACACAATAACCATTTTTTATCCTTTACTTTTTATGAGAAATAATGGCTCATTTACCAAGCGATTTTAAGCAATACAGCATTAATTCTAATCCAATTAAGTAACTTAAATACATTCTGCATTTAATATAGATCAATATGGCCTTTACAGCATGTAATTTAAATGAATATTTTCGAAGATATTACAGATTTAAAATGCAGGGACATAGCGGTTGCGGCGGTACCGGCCGGGAGGCCGGTTTGTATTGTCTAATGACAAAAAAACTGTGAAT